TTTAATACATAAAATGTTTTAAAAAATTGTTTCCATCCTCCGTCCTGGTCCGTCCGTCTGCCAGGATCGGGTTCGGTCTTCATGAGCAGGCGAGGCCGAGGTCCGGGCAACGGCCTTCTGCGAGTCGGCAGCTTGAAACTCGGGTGGAGGACCGGGGAGACCTGCGGAGCTCCACCCAGCTCGCTCTGAACTTTGTCGTCGGTCACCAAACACAAAAAACACCTGCACTTCAGCATTAGACCACAGTGTTGTCATTATTGTTTTTAAATCTTTAAAATTGGTCCACTCGCTCCACGAGTTCGAACACCGGTAATTGCAAATGGCGGATCAGTGTTTTGAAAAGTTTCTGAAAGATCCAGTGGCTCCGCCCCCTGACCAATCAGTGACCGACAGTGTTCTGACGTCACGTTCTGGTGCCGGCTCGGCTCGATTGGTAGGGACAAAAAAAGGGTCCAGTTCCGCAAAAAAAACGACAGTGGAAAAGTGCTCAAAACCGTACCGAACCGAGCCGAACCGGGCTGAAGAGGAGCGGTGGAAAAGGAGCTCTAAGTGACATTTAAGTCCGCTGTCACTCTGCAGAGCTCCATCACAGGAGGAGAAGCTGAAACATGAGGTTCAGACGGATCACGTGATACGTGAGCGGAAGTCGGACAAACTCTTCAGAACGTGGAGCTGGGCTCTGAGAGTCCAGGGTCTGAGATCGTGGTCAGATATAAAGGTGTGGGTCATTCACACAGAGGCAGGAAAACAAAACTTATCTGAGGGTTTTAACTGGAAACAATGGGAACAGACGTGGAGGTCCAGATATCTGATGGGCAGAAGAATCTGTGTCATGAGGGGCTCAGGAACAGAACTGGACCAAAATCACTGGGTTACTTGAGGCCCGAGGCGATCAGACAATCTGGCAGAGACTGGGGACACAGGTGATGAGCACGAGTGCGATGGAGGCGGAGAGTTTAGTTTAGTTTACCGTGATGTGATTTAGTTATTCCTGGTCCCTCTTCAGGTGTTTCCACAACAAGTTCTCCTCCTCTGTCCTCACTCCAACCACCTCCATGTCTTCTCTAACTGCATCCATATGTCTCCTCTTTGTCTGGCAGCTGCATTTCTAACATCCTTCTACCAACATACCCACTGTCCCTCCTCTGTCTGGACATGTCCAAACCACTGTCCCTCCTCTGTCTGGACATGTCCAAACCACTGTCCCACCTGTGGACAGTGCGGATGTTTTCATACGTTCAGTCAACTGTTCCAGTGTTTCCAGAAGCTTAAGGAACACCTTGAATCACTTTGTGTTACTACAGTTAAGTTTTGTACAATTGCAACAGATAGATTTATACATATCACACCACTTTATTTATAAAGCACTTAAAACAGCAACAAGGCCAACCAAAGTGCTGTACAGACAGAACAACAGGTAACACACGAAGCAAAATACAAAATGAGGTAAATCAGAATATAGACATAAAAACTATGCAGATAATGATGACAAACCAGTGTGGAGCATACAGGATCAAAACACAGATCATCTGGTGTTGAAAGCTACTGAATAGTAGAGAGGGAGGGGGCCTGTCTGACAAACAGAGGTAACTCGTTCCAAAGTCTTGGTCCTGCTACAGAGAAGGCCCTGTCACCTCTGCACTTAAGACGAGTTCCTGGAACTGTGAGGAGCAACTGGTCCGCTGACCTCAGGGAGCGTGGTGGGACATACAGTTGTAGCAGATCAGAGAGATGGGGGGGGGGGGGGGGGGGGGG